TTCGCAGGTCACCACTGCCCTGCCGCTGAACTGATTGGCTCCTGGGCCCCCCTGACTTGAACAGGGCCTAGGAACCAGCAGCAGCAAGGATAATGATAACAGCAGCAGTCAGCACTTGCGGAACCCCAACCACAGGGCAGGCCTGAAGCTCACACTGAGTACTCTGCAAATGTCACCTCATGGGCTCCTTAATCTCCCACCTTCAGAGGCTACACACCTAAGCAGGGCTCTGCCCTATACACAAGGGTCCTCTGGGGGGAGAGGGCAGGGTGGGGTGGGGAGGGAGGGAGAGGAATCTCGAAGCTCCTGCCTGCCAGCTCTGCAGCTGCTCACAGGCCCAGACAGGCCCAGCCTCCTCCCTAGTAACTGAGGATGGCACAGGGAAAAATCAAGTTTTGCCAGCTCGAGGATGGAGCTGTGTCAGGCCTTTTCCTAGGCTGCTGAGTCTGGCCCTTCTAAACTCAGCCTCTAGCCCAGGTATGGAGGAGAATGCCCAGGATTAGACACCCTGGGCCTCTCTCCTTACCTTTCTGACCTCACCTCCTGTCACAATCTGGCTCCCTCTCACTCTGCACCAGCCTCCCTGCTGAACCCTGCCAAGTGTACTCCTGCCTCAGGGCCTTTGCACTTTCTGTTCTAGCTACTAAGATGTGATACTTGCATGCTTTGCCCCCGATATCCTTTGGTCTTTGCTTGAATGTTACCATCTTAGCAAGGCCTTCGCTGCCCACTGGAACTGAGCTTCCACCCCAGCTTCTCTCTCACTAGTCACTCACCCCAGCTTTATTTTCTTCCTTTTGCTATATGGTGTATTTTACTGACTTGTGTGTGGGTTTTTGTTTTGTTTTTGCAGTACTGAGTATCAAACCCAGGGCCTTCACCTTCAGGTGTATCCCAGTCCGTTTATGTTTTCCTTATTTTGAGATAGGGTTTCACTAAGTCACTAAGTTGCCTGGGCTGGGCTCAAACTTGTGATCCTCCTGCCTCAGCCTCCCAGAGTGCTGGGATTACAAGGGTAGGTCACCACATCTGGCTTCACTTTCCTTTGAAAAAGAGACCCATAAGGGGCCGGGGATTTAGCTCAGTGGTTCAGCCACCTGCCTCATAAGTGTGAGGTCCCGAGTTTGATCCCTGGTACCAATAAATAAATAAGTAAGTAAATAAATAAATACATACCCATAAAACCTCAGAGTGACTGAGAGGTGCAACAATGACTGTAACTGACTCCACGTATGTGTAGGTTTGGCCCATTAAATACTGACCTCCACTCTACCTTCAGCGGGTCCAAGGGAGCTCCTGCCACCCGGGAGGCTCCCTCACACCTTGGCAACCAGACATCGTGGCTGCGGGTCCAGTCCTGGGCCTCTAGCCCTCCTGCAGGTCCGCCCTGGGCGGGCCAAACTGGAAGGCGGCGCCAGCGCGTGTGACTCGGGTGAACAGCGCCCTCTGCTGGGCGCGAGGGGGAGGCCCTTTCGGGAAACCCCAGCAGCCGATCCCTGTAGCAGGTGCCAGCAGTGAGAATCTCCAGGAATTCTTCCTGCTGGGAGGGCAGTTTCCGCCCAGGATGTGAGTGCGGCGATAAAGGAGCATTAATTGGCCCTACCTGTCCCTCAGCCACCACATTGGTAGTGATTGCAGTAACATTTATGTAGCCATTGCATGCGTCCTTCTGAGCTCTTTACAGATATTTATACATTCATTCCTCCATTTTACAGGTGAGAAAAGTGAGGCAGAAGCGGGCTGAAGAGGTGCAAATCTAATCCTAGATACTTACCAGGCTGGGGCAGGAGGATTTTGAGTTTGAGGCCAACCTGTGGAATATAGTGAGGCTCCCAGCTCAAAACAAAAAGTAAGGCAGAAAGGTAAGGCATTTGTGCAAGGTCTCATTGTGGAAGTGCCAGGGCCAGAACTTGTGCCGGTTCTTTTCATGGGAGGAGGTGAGGTAGGTTCGCCCTTAGCATGAGCAAGACCTATGGATTTCCCAGAGACTGACCTGGACAGGCTGCTGAAGAGGCTTCCCTGGGACACTGTCCCCGCCCAGGTCCTGCCTGCCTGGCCATCCCTCAGCACTTCCTGGCTGGGTCTTCTCCCTGTATTCCCTCAAGGGAGGCAGCAATTATCGGCACCCCGCTGGGAGGAGAAAAGATTGCCGGGGTCAGCAACAAGGATAAAAGGCACCTGACTGACCTGACTCTGCTCCAGGGGACAAAGGGACACCTTTCTTTGGGGCTTTTTTTTTTGGTACTGGGTCTTGGTGCTTGCGAGGCAGGCAGTGGAACCACTGAGCTAAATCCCTGGCCCCTCTTTGGATCTTTTTTCTCCTGTAAAATGACAGGGTGGACTGGGGGAAGTTTTCTGTGTCTGGAAGTTGGTAAAGAGACATCAGGTCGATGAGGCTGAGGAGAGCGGACTCTTTCTTACAGTAGAGCTCCACTCTTACTAGCTTTTCTGCCTGACTTAGATTCTGAGACTTGGGCTTTGAGACTCCACAGAACCCTGATCTCAGCGAGGACCGCGTTTCCTGCCTTTTCTCCAGATTGGATGATTGAATTTGAAGCATCTGCAAAGATGGATGCTCTGAGGTGTTTGACATTGTTACGGGCCCCAAACCAGATCACTTACATTCATGGATATCATGAGATCAAATAAGTGACAACACATCTAAATCGGATGTGATGGAGACCATAAGGCAGCCCTATACAGCTGTAATTCACAATGTGGGTGTAAGGCACAAGTGGAAGCATTAGAAAGATACCCAGCAACTGGTGAACTGCAAAATGGAAAGATCAGTGAGTCAAGCATTCTGATGGTTCTGGTTAGCATGGTCAGCCACGTTTTTTTTTTTGGAAGATCGAACTCAGGACCTTGGACTTGTGAGGTAGGCGTGGTGCCACTGAGCTAAATCCCTGGCCCAGCCATGTTGTTTTTTGTGGTTAGCACTCACTTGGAGTGGTGAGCAATGTAGCAGGTAAAAATATATTTTTTTAGGTACCAGGGACCAAACTCTGGTCCTTGCGCTTGCGGGGCAGGCGGCAGAACCAGTGAGCTAAATCCCCGGCCCCCTAAAAATATTTTGACGTCTTCTTCTAAGTCTCAAAGACCACAGACCTAAGATCCCATTTTGCAAATGAGAAGCAGGCTAGGAGTCATTGAGCAATTTAACACCCAGCCCTATAGCCTAATCTAGGTCTCTTTCTTTCCAAATTACTCAGGCTGGTGACTGGTTCTATTGCAAAAGAATCCAGATCTGCCCAGAGGCCAGGATTGACTAGGGGAAGGCTTCTTTTCCTCCAGGATGCCCTCCAGAAGTTCTGGTGGGGAGATACCCAGCCTTAATAATGGTTGTCTGGTTTTGATTAGCTGCTGCTGAAGATAGGGTTTCCCATTTCATTTAGGTTTGTGCAAGGGGAGAGGAAGATAAGGGGCAGCAGGTGCAGCTGGCGTGGAGACCCAATCCTTCCAGGCCCCTATCAGCTGCAGGGCCCCAGCAGAGGGGGCCAGAAGTAGGGAGAACCAGACTGCAGCTCTGAAGAAGCGGAGCCAGGAGTGGCTGGAGGGCTAAGGTGCTATGGACCAAGGATGGGTGCAAATCCTTCTACTCAGTTCTCTTCTGGTTTCTCCATTCATCTCGGCCTTCAGAATCGTGGTTGCAAACCCAAGACTGCATCAGAATCACCTGGCACTGGTTAACCCAGCATGAGGCCCCACCCCGAGTGTTCGTTCCTGGCTGAGGCTGGTGCCGCCAGTCAGGGCCAGACTCCGCATGACTACATTCAAGACTGAGTCACTCTTGGGGGAAGAAAACTTTCATTTCTACTTCAGCTATTTCTTTGGCTCTGCTTCAGATTCTCTTCCTCTGGTGAACTGAAAAATTTGAACTTCACTTTGACAGAGGCACAAATAGAATCATTCTATCCCTACCGCCTGTCCATCCTTACTCCTACATTCTTGTTGTTTCACTGACAGCCGACCTAATGGGTCCTCTAATTTTGTTTTTCTTGATTTTTGATTTTTTTTTTTTTGGTACCAAAGATCGAACTCGGGACCTTGCACTTGCAAGGCAGGCGCCAGAACCACTGAGCTATCCCCGGCCCTGTTTTTCTTGATTTTGATGAGCAGGTTTCATTTATAAAAAAAGAACAAAACACAATGAGGCCTTTCTTCAAAGCAGGAAAATCCTCAGAGGCTGTTTGAAGAAAATGTGAACAAGTGCTGCCAACCCCAAGAGTTCAAAGTGGCAGTAGTTACCAACAACACAAATAGTACTTGACACGTGTCAATGGTAATTCACTTAATTACCATAGAACTTTCTATTTAGGATACTGGGGATCAAACATAGGGTCATTCTACCACTCAGGTACACCTCTAGCTCTTTGTGTTTTTTAAGAACAGGTCCAATTTGCCCAGGATAGCCTTGAACTTGTGATCCTACCTCAGCCTGTCCCCCTCTCCCCCCCCTTTTTTGACAGGGTCTTACTCTGGAGCCCAGGCTGGCCTTGAACTTACAGTCTTCCCACAGTCTACTAGGTGCTGAGCATGCACCACCATATCCGGCAAAAGGTTCCATTTTATTATTTGTGGTACTGGGAATTGAACCCATGCATGCTAGGCACTTTACCACTGAGCTCCTTCCCCAAGCCTACATGTCCTGCTCCCTTTTTTTTTGAGACAGAGTCTCACTATGTAGCCCAGGCTGATCTTGAACCTGCATGACCCTCCTGCTGGGATAATAGACATATGCTACCATGTCTGGCTAAAAAAGTCCCTGATTTATAAATGAAAACTCTGAGGCAAGTAGAATTTAAGCGACTTTGTCTGGGCTCTGGTGATGCTTAGCCCAAGGGTAAGGATGTTAACTGTTCTCTCATGTAGAGTTTGTCCCTTAACACAATGCTGAAAATTCCAAAACCCACTGAACTGGACCCTTGACATGGGTGAATGGTGTGGTGTGGGAATTAGATAAGCAGATATTTACAAAAGAAGTTCACTCCCCTGGCACCTCTGGGAAAAGTTCCTTTAATAAAAAAAGTTCTAGTACATTTACACGATTGTCATCACCCTTCATCTACAGCACGCAATAGAGAAAATAAAAAATATGGGACAACCTAGAAACTCATGGTATAAAAATGGATGGATTCACCCAAATGGGAGGCTCAGGGCCCGGAGATCTGAGAATCCTATGAGGGCAGTGAGCCTTGCAGGCTGTGCTCCCAGAGGGGCAGAGGGGACACAGAGGACCTGCCTCTAACTTTCTGAAAACAGCATTTTAAACCAAACAGAAACAGGTTGTAGTAAGAGGCCTCTTTTACAGAGAAGATCCATTCCAGAGGTAAAGTCAGCATGGGCATAGGAGCCGTCCAGGCCCAGGATATGGGCTGAGTGCCTGGTGACAGGTGGGACACTTCTGGGAGCTGAGCTCCGAGGCAGCCAGACCCAGGCTGAGGGGCGGTCAGTGCCCGATGAGGTCACACTGCCCCAGCCTTTCCCTTCTGAAAGGCTCAGAACCCAACCCGCTCAGGTCAGACGTGCAGCTCCACCCTCTCTAAGTTGCTCCGGCCACTTCCTGACAGGCTCTGAAGTCCCCGGCTGGAAGGGGACAGAGCCCCCTTGGAGGTGTTTAGTGCCAGCGCTCTGGCAGGGCCTCCTAGTCGTCCTCCCCACCCCCATACATGTCTGCCAGCTTCTTGAAGCGACTGCCCCACTCGTTCAGATAGTCATAGTCCTGGTCCTGGTCCGAGGCCGAGGATGTGAGGGAGCTTAGGGAGGCAGCATCAGAGCCACTGCCTTCGTAGTCGAACACCAACAGCGAGTCGTAGGGTGGGGCTGTGGGGTCCGTGTTGGCCGCCTTCAGGTTCTGTGGCAACAGAGAGCCATGGTTAGGAGTGGCGGGACTGTCACCTGTCATCTGCTACCTGCGAGGGCTCAGGCAAGTCAGTGCACCTGGCTGCGCCTCACTTCTTCAGCTGGAGACAGCCTGGCCCTCCCTCAAGGCTTAGAACCTCTGGGAACAGGGACATGCCTGGAGCTAGAACCCAGACTCCACACATAGGTCTGTGGCCCCTGTGTCTCCAGCCACTCTGGAAACCGCCCTCATCAAACCAGAGGGCAAAGCTTGGGGTATTTAGCTCCAAAGCATCTTCTCTGAACAAGCTTCTCTGAACAACTTTTCCCCATGTATGAGACGATCTCTTTCCTTACTTTATTTTTTCCGGTACTGGGCATCGACCTCAGGACCTTGTGCTTGCTAGGCAGATGCAGCACTGCTGAGCTACATCCCTGGCCCTATGATCTGTTTTTTTGTATAGCACTCTTCTTGCACACTCAAGCTAAATAAAGAGGCTTGCTACTGGATTATTTCTAGAAGGCAAGGGGGTAAGCAGTTCAGTTTCCATCTCTGCAGAAGAGAAGACAGGCCCAGTACTTGAGCTGGGCTGAGGCCTCCTAGCCTCTCAGCCAGCCTCCTGTGCACTGCTGCTGACCAGTGGGCCCATCCAAAAGGGCTGTAAATCATGACTGCTAACTAGAAGCCAGGCTGCGCTGGGCTCATACCATAGCCCTTCCATATGCCTAATTTGTCAGATCAATGGATCCCAGTCCCTGGGTATGAGTCAGAGGCTCCAGTGATCACTGATGTCCCCAGGCGATCCCAAAGGAAGGTTCCAGAGCCTTTGTTCCGGAATTGTTCTAGGTGCTTCCTAATTTACTCCTTGAAATAATCCCTAACAGATATTCCAAACTTTCCTCCATATTGGAATCTCCTGGAATCACTAAAATTCAAATCTAGGGAGACTGGCCCGCCATGTCTTACCTCGATGATGAAGTTGCCGATTTCATCTGGGTTGGCTGGCCGGGGACGGTACATGGGTGTGGGGATGAAGGTTGGTGCCACATCATTGCGGAGAACCACCTCAGGCCTGGCCTCTAAGCCCCGGTGGAGTTGGGTAATGTCATAGTCCTTTACAAAAATGAACGAGATTATGGAATTAATCTCACCAGTTACACCTCACCACCTGGGTGCTCTGGTTTATGGGTCGATCTTAGAAGACTGATATATGTCAGATTTCTGAATGACCATGTTTCCCCTCTCCCTTGTCCTTCCAAATTAAGTTCAGACTCAAGGTCCACTTGGCCTAGTTAAAGAGAACACAGTGATGGACCAGGCCCCCTCTCAGAAGAGGAAGCTCATGGTCGATCCTCCATGAAGACTGACACTTCTGCCAGGGCTGGCAGGTTAGAGCTAACATGGTTAGCTGGTTGACCCAACCACTCCTGCCAGTGGCCTCATGGGAATCCACTTCCCAATCCTCAGGCCCCACAGTGACCCACCTGGTCCTCTTCGCCACCACCCTCTTCACCATAATAGAAGACATTGTCACGGGTGTCATCTTCTGGGAGCAGAAGAGGCTCTTTGACCTTCTGCTTCTTTCTCACCAACAAGAGGAGCACCAACAGGAGGACTGCAGGAGTTAACAAATATGAATACTCACCCCTGATCAAGTGGCCACCCTTGGAGCCCCTACCTAGTTTTAGAACCCTCTGTTTATTTACTGTCCGACTTCCCATAACAGCAGTATTTGTTTTTTTGGTGCTGAAGCCCAGTATTGCACCAGGAGTGTTAGTTCCTGGGAAAATCTTTTTGTGGGATGGGAACCTCTTAGCAGTTGTTAATTTTCAGTGAGACTCTTAGTCACCAGATGTTTCCTAAGCTAGCCATAGACTTGAAGTTAAAAGCAAGATAATACAACTTTGATATTGGGCCGGGGATTTAGCTCAATGGTTCTGCCACCTGCCTCGCAAACACAAGGTCCCAAGTTTGATCCCCAGTACCAAAAAACATAAAAAAAACACAAAAAAAACCCTTTGATATGGTGCAGAATTTCTTTTCTTTTCTTTTTTTTTTGAGACAGTCTCACTATGTAGGCCAGGCTGGCCTTGAATTCAATATCTTTCTGCTTCAGCCTCCTAAGTGTAGGATTATAGGCATGTGCCCCTATGCCAGGCTACAGTATAGTAATTTGATCTTGGGTTCAAATGCTGTTGCAATTCTAAGAGAGGGATTGGCTTTTAGCGATATGGTTTGAAGGCCGGCAGGGTATTTATACACTGGGGGAACTGGCCAACTAACCCCGGCTGCTCACCCTAGCTGTCATGACTACACCCAATTAACTCTGTTAAGAGGGCTCCCTCTTCACTCTCTCTGGTAGTTCCACATAAGAGGATGCAGCCACTGCTTTGAGTTGTTACTTTTTTGCTGCCGATGGAACCCTGCCTCTCTGGCCAGACAAGTCAGACCTAGCTTTCTTTGGGAATCCAAGGTTCTCAGGATGCACACAGATGGCAGCTTCACTTCTCTCCCTTTCCTTCCCATTGGCTCTGGGGGAAGGTAAGAGGTCGACTGGATTTATCACCTGAAGCCAAGGCTTATGTGTCTAACTGCCCAGTCACTTATCTCTTGCCATGGTCCCTTCCAAACCGGTAAACAGAAACTCCATGTTCTACCTGCTCAGGCTCAAACCCTCGGAGTCACTGTTGGCTCCTCCTTTTGTATCAAGCTGCACTGGCTGTTGAACACCACCATCTGGCTCCATGCCAACCACTGTCTCGCCGGAGACTATGGAATCAGCCTCCCAAATGTTCTCCCTACTTCCACCTCCGCCTCCCTATAGTCTGTTCAGTGGGAATCTTGCAAAATGCAGGTCACATCACACCACTGCTGGCCAGGGATTTAGCTCAGTGGTTTCACCACCTGCTGTGCAAGTGCAAGGACCTGAGTTCAATCCCAGGTACCAAAAAAGAAAAAAAGAAAGAAAAATCACACCACTGCTCTGCTCCAAATCTCTTGAGGATGTCCCACTTCACCCAGAGTCCTTACAATGGCCTACAAGCCCCAACAAGATGATCCGCTGCCCCTGTCATCCCTCTGACCTCATTTCCTACTCCTTCTCTCTTGCTCTCCCATTCCAGCCACTGCTGTTTCCCCAATCAGCAAGCACAAAGCTGGCTCAGGGCTTCTGCATTTGCTATACCCTAAATATCTTCATGGTTGGCTTCCTCGCCTCTTTCAGATCTTACTTGAATATCCTCTTCACACTAAGGCCTTTCCTGCACATCCTACTTTAAACCGCAGACTTCGGGGCCAGGGATTTAGCTCAGTGGTTCTGCCACCTGCCTTGCAATCGTATGGTTCTGAGTTCGATCCCTGGTAACCAAAAAAAAAAAGACCTGCAGACTTCTCATGCCATCTTAACACCACATTCCTGCTCCTGCTTTCTCCTCCTCTACAGCACACCCATTTCTCTGATGGACTGCTTGCTGCTTTAGAAGTGCTGCATCCCAGGCCTAAAACTGTGCTTGGTGTCCTGTATGCTGACTAACAAAAACTTGCTCTTGTCACACTCATATTTGATTGAATGCATGTTTTCTGTGTAAGGACCAAGTTAAAGGTGGAAAATCAACTATAGTAAGTTCTACCTTAGAGCAAAGAAATTCATTTTGTGTTTTGTTTTGGTGGTGCTGGGGATCAAACTCAGGGCTTGTGTATGCTAAATTCATGCTGTATCTCTGGATATCTCTGTATCCCTCACCCCAGACCAATAAATTTGTTTGTGTTTTTTTTTTTTTTGGTACCGGGGATCGAACTAGGGACCTTGTGCTTGCGAGGCAGGGACCAGAACCACTGAGCTAAATAATAAATTTAACTAAACACTTCTGCCCACCAGCCCAGTAGTTTTAAAATCCTAACATGTACCAGAGCTTCTTGGGGACTTGTTAAAACAGATTACTGGGTCCCATCCCTGTTTCTGGGTCAGCAGACCTGGAGTGAGGCCGAAGTATCTGCCTTTCTAACAAATTCCTGGTGCTGCTCATTAGCCAAAGACCACCCAGACCGCGGCTCCAGTCTCAAGAGGTCACCACAAAACGGCCAAGTCTGTTTGCTCACCAACACCTGACATACCCCAGAAGCTCCACAAGTAACTACAGACTGAGTGACACTTCTGGAATTAGAAGAATTTAAAGAATGGACTGGCAGTGTTGGTGGCCCCCAGGACCAGGAATTCAGTTGAGCGAGATCTCTCCATTCCCCATCCTCAGAGGGGAGATCTGTGGTACTCACGCAGCAGACCCAGGACAGCCCCCAGGACGGGGAAGATGAGCCCACCCTTCCAGGGCTTGGAGCAGGACTCCACATGGCCGTGGCAGTCACACACGATGGCTCTGATCACGGTCAGCTGTTCATTGTTGCCATGGTCAGACAGAGAAAGGTGTACATCATATGCGTCTTGCTTCAGGAATTTCTTCAGGGACAAGGCCACTGTGTCTCCTGCAGCGGACAGATAACGGTTTAGCTGGGGATGCCTTAAGTGGTGGGAACCGAGTAGTCCAGGATGAAGGTTTGAGAATGGCCTTTGCAATTGAGCCAGAGAAATAGACCAAAAGCAGCCTTTGCCCAAGTGTTAAAAATAAATTTTGGGGGCTGGGTAGAGTGCATGCTTAGCATGCAGGAGACCCTGGATTCTATCATCCAGGGACTCCCCCCCCAAGATGATAATATTCAGCTAAAACAAAATTTACCATCAAGGAAAGGATTACTGAGATAGAAAAATAAATTCCTCATTTTATTTTTTCTAAATCAATAATTAGGTGCAGTGGCACATGCCTATAATCCCAGCTACTTGCGAGTCTGAGGTAGGAGGACTACAAGTTGAAGGGCAGCCTGGGTCACTCAGCAAGATCCTGTCTCAAAATATAAAAACTGCTGCAGATGTTAATTCATTGGTAGAGCATCCTTGGGTTCAATCCCTAGTACTGCCCCCAAAACAAAACTTAAAAAATAATATGGGGCTCTGGGCCAGGGATTTCACTCAGTCATGCTGTGGCTGCCTTGCAAGTGTAAGGTCCTGAGTTCAATCTCTGGTACCAAAGAAAAATATGGGGCTTCAATAGTCATCTGATGCAGGACCAATAACCTCTCAGCACCGTCAACTGCTAGACTGTTCTTTGCCTCAAAAGAATACATTATTCTTCCCAAGAGGTAGCTGACCTAATTGTTTAATATTCATCTTAATGGCCATCTATTTTCTTATTTGGTTTTTTTTTGTTTTTTTTTTTGGTACCAGGGATCAAACTTGGGTCCTTGTGCTTGCGAAGCAAGCCGAAAAAGCACCGAGCTAAATCCCTGGCTCTTATTTGAATATTAACTGCCATTTACTATCATTTCTACTTAACAAAATATAGATTCTTTTTTTTTTTTTTTTTTTTTGAGGGGATCAAACTTGGGTCCTTGTGTTTGCAAGGCAGGTGGCAGAAGCACCGAGCTAAATCCCTGGCCACGTTTTGT